TGGGTTTTTAATTGCCACACAGGAGCCACACCACTCCCCAGCTTTTTGAATGGGGGTCACAAGACCCCTTTTATCATTATTGCATGTATGCACATGCATATTTTTAACATAAAGGTTTGCGCAGTACTTCCCCTGCAGTAGTAGGAGGGGTATTCCTTCTCCAGTCAGTTCCTTAGTTCTGTCTACTCAGGAAAGGGTCTTTAAAGAAGCTTTGGACAGTCACTTCAGCCAGAGGCAGGCTGATGATTTTAAAGCAACAACATCAGTAGAACCCAGAATCATTGGTTTTGAATTATTACTCTGCTGAGAAAAGTTAAATACCACCACATAGCCTGGAACTGCAAAAGCATGTAAACAAGCAGTACAACAAAACAAAGAAGAAAGACAGTGTTTAGTCCTCTTAGTGCCTGGGAATATCTTTATTTGATCTAATCCTAGAACCTCCGTGGATTGTTTTGTTTTTTCTTTCCTTGCTCTTTAGCTTATCTACATTGCTTGCTCTTATGCCACTGTGTATCTGATCTACATGAAATTTAAGGCCACCTATGATGGAAACCATGACACATTCAGAGTGGAGTTTCTGATAGTTCCTGTTGGTGGACTCTCATTTCTTGTCAATCATGACTTCTCTCCTCTGGAGGTAAGTTGATTGTGGGTGGGAGGTTATAGAGTTTTCTCTGAAGAATTTAGAACATTAACATTTTTAGGCTGATTGAGGAATGCTTAAAAGATGCCTACATGAAGTAGGTTCAGGCTACTCCTGTTACCTTCATGCATCTTTACAGCATGGGTTTTTGTGAGGATTTAAGGCACTTCAGGTAACTTAGCATTATTACCTACATTGACCATTTCATTAAGCAGAAAACTTTTTCCTAGTGCACTGATGGTTATATTAATACAAAAGTATCCTTCTTTTGTTATTTGGTAAAGAAACGCCCAAGGCTGCAGTTTATGGATAGTTTATGCCATCTGGTGAAAACAAAAGGAATTATTGCACTTAAATTTTGTAGAATTGAAATAGTCTGGAGTATTAGAATTGTGTGTATTTGAAATGCAATTATGTGTTTTCCTGTCAGAAAAATTACATTAAAAATGTAGTTCTAGAGTTCAACTAGGTAATTTTCTCCACAGAATAGAGAATAACTTCAGATGCTTATTCAGTGGACTGAGCTGCATTTTTATATATATTAGATTTAAATTATTTTACTGGGAAGTAAAGGCATTTTAGTTGCAACACTTGGAGGCATTATTTTAAATTTTGTTCTCTATTAATTTGTTCTTTAAACCAATAGATTAAAAAAGTTAGAAGATGGCGGGGGGTGGGGGTGGAACTTCATTATCTTCCCTGTGGCATTTCACAGCACCAGCTCTGCAAGCTGTATTTGATGGTACTGTGAATCCTGAACTGATGGATGCACATAAGTTTCTTCCTGAGTAAATCTGCACCTGCCAGCGTGCTAGACAGCTGGTTTGGAGAGTGTTGCCTGCCAAGACAGTTGTTCCCTAGTACCGTCCCAAGGTTGATTATGAAGCTTTCACTTAGTTTTTCCTGTACCAGGAAGGATAGTTTGCAAAAATTTGTTTGTAATACTGTTAGAGGGTGAAGAGTCAAGCCAAGTCAAATACCTTCTGTGCTGTTATCAGTGAGACAGTTGAATATACCTGTGGCTTGGTTTTGTTTTCAGATACTGTGGACCTTCTCCATCTATCTTGAATCGGTTGCTATTCTCCCTCAACTTTTTATGATCAGCAAAACTGGGGAAGCAGAGACCATCACTACTCACTATCTTTTCTTCTTGGGCCTGTACCGTGCCTTGTACTTAGTCAACTGGATTTGGCGCTACTATTTTGAGGGATTTTTTGACCTCATAGCTGTTGTTGCTGGTGTGGTCCAGACCGTTCTTTACTGTGACTTCTTCTATTTGTATGTTACAAAAGGTAAGTAGTGCAATAACTTCTAGCTTCAGGTTGTGGAATGTAGCAGTTAACATGTTTGTAGAGATCTGATGTATCAACATTACTAGGATGGTAATCCTGTGTGCAAATTACTGCTGAAATCTCCTTGATAAATACACTTTCTGCTAGTGTGGGGCATTTCCGAGGGCTGTATGTGAATATGGATAGAATATAAATGTACAAATGGTCTGATGAACATAATTGACAAGTTTAAGTATAGTTCAATGCATGTTGTTGTTGTCTTCCATCAATAAGCATGATCCTCATCCTTCTCCAGGGGACATTTCCTGTTTTGTGCAGATTTCCATGCTTATAGAATCCTCGCTTGGGGTTTTAAATACCTTAAAGAGCTCAAAAGGGCTTGGATGTTTCTCTTTAAGTGTAGAAGCAGTCATTTCTGTTGGATGTGTTAATTATCCTGCCCTTATTTGCATTCCAACTTCCATCATACAACTGCAAAACTGTATGGGGCTGTGTTACTTCAGTTAACTCGTAAGAAACCAGGGTCATAGGCTAGTGTGTGCTCTGGGGATGCAGAATGATAATTCAGGGTGCCACAAGAGGGCAGGATTGGAATATTTTGCCAGTATGTATTGAAGAGGGGAGAGGTAAGCTTGGGAGGACTCTCTGTGGTGTACCCAATTGTAATGAAGTGACTCTGTGACAAGTTTTGCTCCCTCTGAAGCTTTCATATTATGTGTTTCTCCTAGAGCACATCTTTGGTTTGCTAACTCTTTCCTTTCGTACTTTTCCTTACAGTACTCAAGGGAAAGAAGCTCAGTTTGCCAGCGTAAGTGCCAAAAAAACCCATCACCAGCATCTGTCCTTTTGGATGCTTGGACAGAACAATCCTTATCACAAGCAAAGGCGAAGATGCTTGAGACAGAAAGTCAGAAACACAGCTCTTTCTAGTGCAGGTAGTCATCAGCGGCTCTGTAAGAACGGAGGAAAAACAACCAGCAGATTTCTGTTTGATGCATCTTGCCTTTATCTTTTTTATTACTATGTATAAAGATTTTTTACATAAAGAAACTTATACTGTATTAATAAATTCAGTGTATGGTTTCAATTGGAATAGTTCCAAAAGTGAGATTTTTGTGAGATTGTTTATGACCAGGAACAAGTGCAAACTTTTTTTTTCTTTTTTTCTTTTTTTTGGTGTTTTTTTTTTTTTTTAATTTTCAAGAATTTCTTTGAAATGACTGGGGGTTTATTTTTGTTTTTGTCTCCATTGCACAGGTGTGTGCATCCTTGATGGATGGTAGTCATTTGTTCTTTCCCTTTGATTCAGTTTTCATTCCACTATATTTATTTTTTTCCAAAAGGTGAATATATGTCAACTCTAAATCTGAAACCACCGATGTTGATGTGATGTGCTGGTGCCCAGTCTTTGTGCCATCTGCTGACATGGGGTTCCTTATTGAAAATAAATGTTGGTGCCAGAAGGGGAGCAGTCCCATTTTCTAGTTGTTCCCCTCCTGAAACAGGCTGATGGCAAGAGGGCAGTAAGGAAATCTCTGGAGACCACAAGGATGGACCTGTTCCTGTTTCGCCACGATCTTTGAGAAGGCAATCCCAATAATGAATGCACTCGGCAGCACAGGTCATGAAGGATAAGAGATGGGGTTGTGTTGCTCAGTGGCAAATGTGTGTGACTGTGTTCTTTGTTCAGGAACAGAAGGTTAAATATCTGAGACGTGCAGCCCGGCTACAACATTACAGCTATACAAACGGAGACGTATAAGTTGCTGATTACAGTAATCTGTAGGTGATCATTTTAAACAGTGTCTACATTTTCCTCTAAATGAATGCTTTATAAGCAGCTTCCATGTTCAGCTTCACGTGGTTTTTTGATGTCACTTTTGGACAATTAATTTTTTTTATAAACTTCTCAAAATCAGCAGCACCAGTTTCCATTCTTTATCCTTTAAATGATTCCCTTTTTTTACTGAGCTGTTGCATGATTTATCCTGTGTTACCATCCTCAATAAACACTTTATGAAATGGTGAAAATGTTTTGGAGTCTTTATTTTTTATATACATATATTTGTGAATTAAAGTTTCCGATAGGACTGAGACAAGATGAGAAGTTGTAGCAAGGATGAGCTGCTTACTGTCAGTGTTTGCTATATTGAAATATGAATTCTTTAAGGCTGTGAGGAGCATTGTCATGGGATGAAGCGATGGTCACTGTCTTGAAATAGCTTAAGCTCCAGCCTGGTGCAGGTGAAGTAGATATTTTTTGTGGTCGGTTTTATTTTCAATAAATCATTTCTGTAACTTGTTTACCATAATTATCCCTGTAATTAGTGGTAGTTATCCTAACCCAACATTTGAATAGTGGTTTTTATTTGTACAGTGTGTGTGCCAAGGTGCTGCAGTTCCTTTGTAGCTTGGAGATACCAGTGTCTCGTTGCTGTCTGGAGTTGCTTGAAACCAAACCAAGGTCCGTCGCTGTGATGAAATAGAAGAGCCTGATCTGAGCTGTAGCCAGAGGGCTATACGAGATAAGTGCCTGTTAGCGTGAGAGAACCCTTCAGGATCACGGTAGGTTATTTTCTTCCACGCTGTTGTCTTTGTACTTTAGTTCAGCTGCGCTGTCGTCACCACTGTGTACGTGCTCGCCACCGAGCGGAAGGAGCTTGAGGGAGAAGGCAGCAGGGCCTCTTAAGGCCGCCCAGCTCCGCGGCCTCCCCCTGCAGAGGCTGTTGTGCTTGCGCCCCGCGGTGCTGGGGGTGCAGCCTGCGGGCGTGCCGGAGCTCGGCACGGGGTTAATCCTCACCGCCGAGCACTCCCGCTCCCACAGCGCCGCGCCCGGCCGGGCCCTCTGCACATGCGCCGTAGGCAGGGCTGGCGGCGGGAAAGGCGGATCCTCCCAGAGCGCATGCGCGCCCTGGCCCAATCGAGTTTGAGGTGGGATATGTCCACCGGTCAACGTAGGGCGCCGTGTGTTGCGTGATGACGTCGCTCTCCCGTGAAGTCGCGCTTGTCCCGAGGGGGCGGTGTGGCCTGCGGGAGGACCGGGCGTTGCGGGCCGTGGGCTAGGGACCGGTTCAGGTGCTTGGGTGCCCCTGACGCGGCGGCGGGATGCCGGGGCTGGTGGTGTTCGGCAGGCGCTGGGCCATCGGCAGCGACGACTTCGTCCTCCCGGGGGCCTTCGAGCTCTTCGTCAGGCTGCTGTGGTAAGGCGACGAGCGCGGCCGCTACCTCCGCCAGCGGGGCCGGGGCAGCCTCGGTGGCCGCTTGTCGGCCGCTTCCCCGCGGCAGGGCTCCTCCGCCTGAGGCGCTGTGGTGGCGGCGCTGGGTCCTCAGCTGCAGCGTGGGTCGGCGCGGAGGACGCGGCGGCTGGGGGTAGAGCCCCTGGGCTGACGTAACGGCCCAGCGCGGCGTTACCGCGTGTGTGCTGTGCGCGGAACCGAAACTGCTGGGTTGTGTTTAAGCCGTGACTGGTGTGAACGTGGTTTCGTCCTGCCAGAGTTAATACGGTGATTCCTTCTTTTGTTGAGATGAGCCCAGGTTGTCTGGCACCTGCGGCAGTGAGTAGCGCACCACAGAGAGCGTTTCTCGGTCTGCAGCGACTTCTGCTCAGTTGTAATTACTGTTGAGCATCCCTTTAGGCCTTTCATCCCGACAGAGTCCTAATGTAACAGCTCCCTTTCTGTTAATCTTTGTGGGATGCTGTCATCAAGATGAAGACTTTATCAGGTGATCGCTGTGCGGTTTGTATGGTTCCAACTAGAACTCTGTTATCTTACTTTCCTGTAGGTGGATTGGAATTCTTGCTCTTTATGCGGTTCACAAGGGGCGGTTTAACTGTCCTGGAGGAGGATTGCTGCACAGCTACTTGCTTGTCCTCCTCGCTCTCCTGGCTGCTATAATATGTGCGTTATCTGCTCTTGTATACATCAGTATGCAAGGTAAATAGTTAATAGTTTATATTAATCTAGTAGGATTGTAGCATATATGCTTTTTTAATCTGTGGTTGACATTAAAAATGAAATAAAATTCAAGTGCTTTAATGGTAGTCAAACTTGAGAAACTGTCAGTATCAATGTATTTTCTGTATTAGTTTTGCCTCTGTTAGTCAGGAATCTAACATAAGTGGACACAACAGGTTAGTGCAGTTAATGGTGATATGTTCACTGTCATCAAAGCACCTTGAAACCTTCCTATGCATTCACCATCAATACATGACCTCAGACAGAACACTGTTCAGCCTCTCCAACAGGAATTCAGGGGAAATTATCCAAAATAGTTTTCTCATCCAAAATGTCTTGTTAGCTTTGCCTTGCATAGGTAGATATTGTCATGACTTGTTAAAGATCAGTAGCTGCAGTGAAGCCTGGGGGAAAACACACATAGGAAAGGAATCTGTGTGCATGTCATAGTGCAAGTAACTCAGTAAGTACTGTTAAATAGAACACAGCTTACAGCTTGAAGTGAATGGCTAAACATTCACTTCAAGTAAGTGAAGAGTAAGGAACACAATGCAACTTTAGTCATTTGTAGAAATGTTCATTTTGAGCTAAAAAACAGTAGGGAGCTTTTTTCCTGGTGAGGCAGCTCATTATCAAAGTAATGTGAGATTAATTCAGAATACGTATGTGGTCTCTGCAGTAACAGACAAGACCCCACAATTTCTAATATACTGGTTCTCAAAACACACTGTAAATAAAAGTATTTAAATTATTTAAGTGGGAGGAAGCATCAAGAGAAACTATGCCAGAGCAGGGATGTGGATGATAATCCTGGCCTTGAATCTAACCGCTGGTTTTCCTACAGTTTCCAGAGGAGGGAAAAGGAGGATTAGCCAAGCTATGATCCTTACATTTATATCAAAGTTGAGGAGGCAGGAGAAGTAACTGTAAATAGCAGTGAGAAAAGAGCCTCGTTTTCTATATATATACAGCTACATGGCCATTAGAACTAAGACATGGAAGAATTCTGAGGCTGAATTTCCAAGAAAATGGTGAGATGTCTTGGCCTGGTTATAATGTGAGGGTTTGGGAGCAGTGGTTTTTGCATGACCCCTTGCAGTGCACTGACGTGGGCATTAGTGATGTAAGTGGTGAACCTGACCGGAGAACTCTTACACTGGGTTGTGGTGCTGGGAAAGGAAAGAAGTTGTTTTCAGGAATCACAGTTCTGTCTGATTGTGTCTCTGTCAGCAACCATGCTGCTGCATAACAGGCAGCAATCTGGGAATGGGAATAAGTTACCACTGGATCAAGGGATTTTTAAACAGCTTTGTCACTAGGTGTGAGCCACAGCTTTACAATTGGTCTCTTTTGTTCTGCTCTGGTTTAAGCCTTTACAAATTATCCTGCCTACACATGCGCACACATACCCACCATCTGATTACCCTGTGATCAACAAAGTGGTTTAAGGAGCTGAGCTGTCCAAAAATTACTCCCTTTCTTATTGCCTGAGAGTACTAAAAGGAAGGCATTATTAAGCTGCTGATACAGAAAACAGTCTAAGAAATATTTCTGCTGGTAATGGTCCTACTTTCATTCTGCTAAATGAAAACGTAAATTAGTTCATTATTTAGAGACCTGGCAGAAGTATATTGTGGCCCAGCAAAACAGCATCTGAAAATGAAATACTCGGGCAACTGAAAGCTAAATAGAATAATAAAAGCAGACACCAGAAGTGAAAAGGAACTGTACATGAGCCAGCACTCCAAGCGTGCCACTTTGGTGTATGCTGGGCACAGCACTGCTGCCTCACATTTGCTGCAGAACTGGTTCTGCCTAGAGAGTAAGTTTTAGGCATCAGTAGAGGAGATCGAAAGAACCACATAGATAAATCCATTGTTTTTCTTTTCTCAGCTTCAGTAATAACTTTGCATTGACTATGAAAATACTTTGTATTTTCAGTTAAATTTCTTTCTGAAAAGCTCAGATATTCAGGTAGGATTTTGTGTACTTAAGATGTGGTCATAGACAGTTTTTGTTTTAAATTCTCCCTGTGATTTCAGGAACAATTTCTAATCCAGGTCCAAGAAAATCACTTCCCAAGCTACTTTATACTCGCCTACTTCTCTATTTTCCTGAATTCATCTGGGCTGTTGTAGGAGCTGTATGGGTGTCAGACAGCAGTGTGCAGTGTGAGAAGACTGTGATAAATGTCATCATGGGGACAGTTATTGCAAGGTAAAGGTTCCTTCACCCAGATCCAGGCTTGATAGTGTATATGAAATGGAAAATACTGCTGATGTGGGTTTTGTACATGTTTATTGAAGGCTTTTCCAGCAGTGGGAGACTTTGGTATCTTGTAAATTATTGTGGTTTCTCATAGAAGAGTTTTCATTGTAAAAGGAGAAGAATTTTTGAATCTGGACAGCTAGAATGAGTTGGTACCCTTCCCTAAACCAGCTTTAGCTACTTGCCTGGAGAGAGCATTTGCTAGAGTAATGGAAGGGAGGTGAAGATCAGAAAGAGTAAGAGGGATAGATGGGAATGTAGAAAACTGGATAAATGTGAAGAGGGTAGTAGCTATATCTCTTCACTGGTAGTGAAAAGTGGAGCCATCACACCTCTGGGTTGCTATTTCCAAAGCACAGGGCTGTGATTTTGAGTTTGGTGCCCTGTGTGAAATAAACTGACAGCCTTGTTCATGTGCCTGGTGGATTGAAAGCCTGATAACAAAGCATGCACCCATAAGACAGTAGCAGATGGTTTTCATACCCAAATAAGTTTTCTGTCTGTCAAGAGCTACAGTTGTGTTTTCTTGTCAGTATCTGGTTTCACAGCCTTTTTTTATCCCACTTCCTTCTGTTTTGCAGCTGGGTTATCATCATCTTTACAATCATTGGAGTTGTAATAGTCTTTGATCCGCTTGGGGGGAAAAAGACATTTTATCTCACCAATAGTGTCTGTCGGAACCTGGAGAGCAGTCAGTCAGGGCAGTTGCTGTACAATGTGAAGAACACTGCCACCAGGGTCTGGGAAAAAAGAATCAGGTTACTGTGCTGCTGCATTGTGCAAGATGATGACCATCGAGTGGCTTTTACAAGTATCGCAGAGCTCTTCCGTACCTACTTTTCGGTAAGATGGAAAGCTTTATTTATGTTCTCTTTTGACTAACTGAATTTGCAAACCTTGCAACACACATGTGCCTTTGGTCAGCCAGAGGTCCCTGTGCCTTCAAATCAGGTTTTGAATATGTCCGTTTCAAAATTAAAGGTGATTCTCATGCAGTGTATACAACACCGATTTTCCCCTCCCTTTAACAAAGGTTTCTCTCCCTTTACAAGCATGAAGGGCTGTGGGAAAAGAGTATTCTTCTTTCTTAGGTATCTTTCTAGTCAGGAGAACAAGGGTGAGTTTATTTTCCTCAATTTGTGAAGATCCAGGCATTTTTCCTGTTGATGAGTAAGGAGTCATATTTACGACAAATAATCTGACTACTTTCTGACTGTTAAAGAATGAGCCCCACAGTATGTTTTGACAGTCTTCCCATTTTAAGCCACTTCGAGCACGTGCCAGACTACAGCGTGCACATGCCAGAAGCTGCTTTTTGGCAACAGCATCTGCCAAATTGGAGTCTGCATCATGTTGATTCAGCTCAAATTTGTGTCACTTAACTGCTTGGGCAGTCGTAGTTCAGTGTTGACTTTGAAATCTGTCCATGATTTCAAGACTAGTAGTTCTTGTTTATTAAGAAGTACTTGGGCATGTGGATTATAGCAACAACCTACTCAGTGTCTTATAGGGTAAAGGGTGTGAGTACTGTGGCGAGATGTCTGACCCAGATAGTTCAATATAAACCCTTCAGCCTTCTCCTGTGTAAAATCCCTTTCAGTTGTTCTCAGTGTAGAGGACTTTTCACACAGGGTGTTCAGTTCTACACGGTGTTCTACACAGTGATGTAGAACAGTAATCAGTATCACTTGCTATATGGCTGAGCATGTCCTCAGCTGAAAAAAATACCTTTTACTTGGTATTTTGTTAAGTGATGAAAATCATAGGTAGAAGTCATCAGTCTTACTGAATAAAAATACCCAGTATGTACAGAAGGGGTGGGAGATTGGATGCTGCTATGACTTGTGTTTTCAGTCCACACTGTATTTCTTTATAAAGCATTTTCCTGTGAGGTGGTTTTGCCATTTCTGAGGTGTGGGATGGTTTTAAGCGTTCTTTCATTTCTTTGTACAGGACACTGATCTGGTGCCAAGTGACATAGCAGCTGGTTTGACTCTGCTCCACCAAGAGCAGGATAAAATGGAAAGTTGCCCAAAAGAGCCTGAAGAAGTCCTGTGTCATTCTCCATCATCTCTTGTGGTAAGATAGGATTTTTGCAGCCTCTGGTAATTACTCTAGGAGATGGTGCCAGGTCAAATTGAAATGCAGTTCTTGGTGCAAGGGTTTTTATGTTTTGGGTTTTTTTTTAAAGAAAATTGAACACTACTATAAAAGTCCACAATTTAAATTATTAATAAATGCAGTGAAAACATCTTGATGGGTATGCAATCAAAATAGTTGTCTGCTTTTGGATAACTAATGGGGAATTAACAGCAAAAAAGAACCATTTAGGACATGTGATCATTGTTGAAGAGCTAGGAGAGAAAGGGAAAAGAGAAAATTTCATATTTAGTACTATTTGCATAGAACTGAAAAGCTAGCCTTTTAGTATTATGGTCTGTTTAAATTATGCCTGCTGCAAATAACAAGACAAAGTAAGAAACAAAAGTAGCATCTTTAAAATGTTTGCAGATGATGGGTTACAGTTTGCCAATTGATTTTTGCTAGTCTTCTGTAGTAAAATGCCTTTGTAAGTTATTTTACCTTCTTTTGGCCTGTGTTTCATAGAAGTATATAATTCTACTTCAAGCAGTGCATTACTGTCAACTTCCCTTTGAATCCAGCCAGTACGATGGGATCATGCTCTAGAAGTCTTTGCCAAAGAGATCTGCCACAGACTCTTTAGTTATTCTTTTGACATCCTTAAGTAACATACTTGGAGTGAATGTTGTTTTCAGTATTGGGCTGATCAGTGCGTAAGTACTGGAAGAAACAGATTTAATAGGAGCATTTCAAGATTCCTGAGCTCTATAGCCATGTAAACAAACACAGACTTTTTTCCGGAATATGAGTGGCTATTTTTAGTTCCTCTTTGACCTCAAGGTTTTCCTTTTGGATAGTGTGTATTTCACTGGGGCTTCATTTCCATTAGTCTGTGTTCAGGTTTTATTCTGGGGCTGCCTGACGCACCTTTCTTCCTCTCTCTCTTTCCTTTTCTTTCCCTGTGTCCTTTCAGACAGATGATTTGGATGCTGAACTGGAGAATGCTGCTCACTATATGCTGTTTGCTGCAGCTGCTTATGGCTGGCCCTATTACGTATACACCAACCCATTTACTGCACTCTGTAAGCTCAATGGTGACTGGTAGGTTTGATCAAGAGCTTAAGACACATGGCTTCCTTTTATTTAGCTAGCATTAGCAGAAATAAAATAGTTTCAATAGCAGTATTTTTGTGGCATTAAATTATATTGCTCTTGGGAGTACGTGAGCTTGACTGGTAGAGTTATCTTTCACAGATTCTGTAGAAACAAAATTCCAGCATCTTTCCACCCTCAGAAAAAGGTTAGCTTATTTTTTTAATTGGAATTAAACCAAATATGTTTTAAAATGCAGCTTTTTAGAGCCACTTTTTGCACACATATATATATATAGAAATAAAAGTGTATCAACAGTTCTCCCTGTCTTGAAGGCATTAGCAAAGTTGCCTGTCCCTCCAGCCTCCATTTTATTCCCCTTGCCTCCTTTACTCAAAAAAAAGTTTATAGTTGTATTGAAATATGTGTAATGCTGTGTAGGATTACTGTATATTTAAGTGACCACTGACAATTGTGACTGTAACCATGATTCTGTTAATTAGAAATGTGAAATAGAAATACAACATCCTGAAATATAAATGACTTGGAACAAAATCACCACATAGTAAGATGGATACAAGAGATAAGCCTGATGTACAGAACTTGTATTGAATTTCCTTTTTGGTTGTATTTTCTGTCATTGGCCTGTAGTCTTAAGAATTCTTTTCTTATTGCATTGTTTGCTCTGCTGATAGTCTTGTAGCAACGGTGTGTTTGCCAGTCCTTGAACTTAAAATGTGTGGCATGCTGCTCAGGCAAAACCAGGTTGGTGGGCAGAGGTAACATCTTGTATCAGGCTAATGGTATTATTGTGAAACCAAACCAAAAAGAGCTTTGGATTCCTGGCAGAAATCTTTTTGCAAAAGTAACTAAGTTTGATTCCTTGAAAGGAAGCATAAAAAATTGGAGCATGAAAGTTTTTCTCTTCTGTGTATTTGTTAGTTGCAGAAATAGAACAACAGATTCTGATATAACCGGCAGTGATCATCATAACTTTCACTTTGGATCCATCCTAAGAATAACAGGACTGCAGTACAGAGACTTCATTCATATCAGTTTTCATAACAAGGTAAACAGTCTGCACAGGCATTCAGCAAAAACACTTAGTGATTAATTCAGGGAAAGCAATGGGTGAAGTTTCTTGTTTGCCTTTAGCATTTATAAGGTGTGAGAATCAAAGCCAAATGAAAACAGGCCCTGAAACTTTTGGTTCTGGTTTTGGGTTTGTTTGTTTTTCTAATCTAAAGGAACAACCACAAAATCATTGACATAAATCTGTGTCAGTATTGCAAAAAAGACACTTAAGGTAACGGGATAAGTAAGTAATTCAGCTTCTTTCCATAACACAATGGAGAGCTCAGAAAGGGAGCTTTCAGAAGGTGAGAACAAATGCTTACTATTACAAAAACTTGGTGTCTTTAATTATTACATTTATTCCTCTCCAGATCTATGAGATTCCATTTTTTGTTGCTTTGGATCACAAAAAAGAAGCTATTGTGGTTGCAGTGAGAGGAACCTTGTCTTTTGAGGTATCATCCATCTGATAGAAATAATCAGCTTTATAGAAAGGGGTGAACTCCCAGTAAGGAGAGTAAATTGTCTTACACTGGCACATTTAAGAATAACTCGCTCACAGGTGTGAGTCTTCCATGCTTAAGTTGTAAGCCCTCCTGTCCTTGGATGGGTAATATTCCTGTGCCACTGGAAGAGAGTGTGAAGGGTGGGTGGTGGTAATTCCTCTGTAAGCAGAGGTGCATTTGTAGTGCTTGTGTTTGCAGCTTGGAAATAGTTGCTGAAATCAGGACTGTGATGGCTGTATTTGCTTGGGTGGTGCTTTATAGGGGACTGTGTTCTGTTGCTTACACACTTGTAAGTCAGGCTGTTGATGTCCCTGTGACAGTGCTGGCAAGCAGAGCATGAGCCATGAAGCCCTGCAGTGAGGTCTGACGAAAGCTGTCTTGTTCGCAGGACATTCTCACTGATCTGTCAGCAGATTGTGAAGACTTGACACTGGAGGATGTTCTAGAGAATGGCTTTGTGCATAAGGTGTGTGCAGTCTGTGGCTGTGGATAGATCATCTCAGCAGTAAGGAATCTGTGAGCACCTGGGATCCTTTAGTTAAACACAGGAATAATCTTGTGAGCTGGATTACAAAATTATTTCAGTGACTTGGTTGTGGCATCACATACTGCCTCTGGAACTGCAAGGTAGAATTTGTAATCCTCTTGTCAGACTCCATGTCCTTATTAAATGTTCTAAAAACTTTTTTAGCCATTACATATAAGACCATTTGGTTGTAACTAGACCTTTGTCAGGAGCATGAGAAAGAGAAGATCAGCTTTGCAAAAGGGAAGTTGCTCTGTGATGGTGTTGTATTTGAAGTGTATATGTCTCACACTTCTGATTAGATATATCCGTCTAACTTCGAATGCTGTCTTGTAGGGAATAACTCAAGCTGCAAACTACATCTATCAAAAGCTAATAAATGATGGAATTTTAAACCAGGCTTTCACAATTGCTCCGGTAAGTTATCTTCTAAATAATTTGGTTTGACACAAAAATTACACATAGCTTTTTCTGTGTCTGTCTATACTTCGGTCTTCTGTCTCTGTCTATAGGAATATAAACTTGTGATAGTTGGTCACAGTTTGGGTGGTGGAACGGCTTCTATACTGGCGATCATGCTCAGGAACTCTTTCCCGACATTAAGGTGTTATGCCTTTTCTCCCCCAGGAGGACTGTTAAGGTAAGAAACTTGCATGACTTGGTTCTGTGTCTCAGATGTAAAAATGTTTTCAAGGTAGTTGACAAACCCGTTAGATGATAACTCTCTCTGTTCAGAGTTTGTTTATATATTCTCTACTAGAACTGGATTTGCTCCATCCTGAGTTACAGTCGAGTTCTTGGAGGAATATTACAGAATGAAATGTATCTAGTGAATGTTGTGTACTATCAGGTAGTATAATTGGAGTTTAAATTAAAAGTTTGGGAAATAAAATGATCACCTGACTCACCTATCTTGGCCTGTAACATCTACACATACCATTATAATCGGCACTGAAGTTACTCTGTCATCTGTAGCAGGTAGATCTGAAAGCGTACTGAAGAACTGGCTGCAGATGCTGCTGCTGTTGCTTCATAATTGTTTTTTTACTGAATTATAATTTATCATCATAAAACTGAAGTGTGCATACTTTTAGTGTAGCTAAAATGTGTCTCTTTTTTGTTAAAGCAAATCACTTGCAGATTACACGAAGCGCTTCATTGTTTCAGTCATTGTTGGAAAGGATCTTGTGGCAAGGTGAGGTGGAAATATTTTTAAATTGCCCTTTCAGGCATGTGTTAGATTGCAGAAGATGGCAGGCTTGGCTTTATCTTGTTCTCTGTGTTTAAACAGGTTAAGTATGCCCAACATGGAGGATTTAAAGAGGCGGATAGTGAGAATTGTGGCAAACTGCAACAGACCCAAGGTAACTAAATGTAGTTCTGGTTGAAGTCAGGGGAATTGCTACCTCGGTTCAGCCCCACTTTTAATGAATTGACACTTGGTGTGTGTATTTTTGATCTTAATGATGAGGGTTTGGAACAGAAGTGTTTGTTTCTTAATTCAGTGACATTTGTTTTAGTCTCTTATCGTATAAAGCTGTCTTGTCGGAAATTAAGATTCAACAAGACCTGGAAGATACCTGTGCACAACTTCCAAGGCCCCAAATTACCTGTTTGCTAGTTCTGTTGATAAGGAAACCTAAAAAAATGAAAATGGGGAGAAAAAAAACAAACCAGCTAAAATGATTCAAAATAAGTAAGATTATTTACTCTAAGAACCACTTAGTATCAGTAGTGGGTTTACCTAGATTTTACCTTCAGAATTCATTTGGAAAGCAAATATTTCTCTGTGTTAATTGCTTACCTCTTCTTTTCACTGTTAGTAAGTAACAGAGTCTTGAAGGTGCTGAATCATTGTGGTGTGAGGCAGGTGATAGTGGAGATATAGAGGAGTGGCTTAAAGATTCTAAACTGCCACTTCTGAATATCTAAAGCTAAACCTGCTGTACCCAGGGGATGTCCATGTAATCCCAGGATGAGGTGTCATGTAAAGGACCTGGGTGATGTTGTAAATACAGAATAAGGTAATGGACAGTTAGAAGTTATAGGTACAAGAAAACCTACATCTGCAGAGCTGAATCCACACTGAGTAATTCGACTTGTGAAGAATGTCATGTTTTCAGTCGTGTTACTAGTGGCTTGGGTTACCTATTGCTGAAATATATACTACTGTGGGGAAAATCCAGTAAGAAGGTTTTATCAGTCAGAAAGTTAGAGGAGCATGTGCATGCAGTCATTTTTAATCTTCTGACTGTAGTTTCGGGTGATGTGTGTGCAAGTGCCCAACTGGAGTAAGTTAGTTGAAGAGTTGCCAAACCTCAATTTGACTGTTTCTGTCTGAATTCAGTACCAGATCTTGCTGCATGGGTGTTGGTATGAAGTCTTTGGAGGAGACCCGGATAACTTCCCAACTGAACTGGATGGTAGAAACCAAGATGCCCTCACCCAGCCACTTCTAGCTGAGGAGAGCTTAATGGTTCATCGGTCACCTTCATACAACACCCTTGAGGATGAACCACACCTCAGTTCACCACCACAGTATCCTCGTCTCTATCTTCCTGGCAAGATTATCCATATTGTAGAAGAATCCAGCTCTAGGAGGTAAGTAGAGTAACAAATACCACTGTCCTGTTTGCCTAAAATTTACTTAAAGCTGCTTCTCACTTTCAAAGTACGTGTTTCCAGCTCTGTGTCTCATCTGCATCTCCAGTACCCATCTTCGGTTATCAATCATTAGCCATCCTTTCAGTTTTCATTCTGTGCCTCCCTGCTGCTTTCAATTTCACTTCAAGCCCTGGAAACTGTTCCTCTTTGTGCCCATGTGCCTTTCTTTGCCTGTATATTGCACATGCTCAGGTGGTGATTTTAACCAGACTGTTCAGCTCAGCTTTGGCATGCTGCAGTTCCTGCCCCAGGCTGCAGATCTTGAAGTCTTATGTCCTGGTAATAATGAAGTGATGACAAAATACCTTGTTGCTGAGTAGTCACTGGAATATTGGTGATGAGAAGGAGGCAAAATACTGCCCATAATACTGGCCCAGACAGATAGGAGAGGTCCAGCCCCACAGTAACCAGTGTGCCCATGCAGCCTCTGCTTTCCTGTTCTTGCCTGCTTTTTTGTGGATGCAGGAAGGTGGGACAAAGCAGGAAAGCTGAAACTGCTGGGAGGGTGAGGGTTGTGGTGTTGGGGCAATGGTGTGTTTAGCAGGTTTATTCGAGATTTGTTGATGTTAGGTTTCCTTTAGACAAAGCAATCTGAACCAGCCCGCAAGCTAGATTGCACTCGATATCCTCTCCTGTTTCACTCTGAAACAGAAATAAGAATGTCTGTTAAGTTGCAGAAAACCATCCTACCAAAGGGAAAAAAGAGAAAAGGGCTGGAGAAGAAATCCCTTTTTTTCCTCCCTTTCAGTAGATTAGGATTTTATTTGTTGTTTCATATCTTTGCTGTTGAACAATTTTAGTACTGATTTTACAAGTTAAGATACTTTAACACCTGTGACCTGGCAGGTTTCCTCCATGGCTGCTCTTCTGATTTACTTTGAGTTCATTTCCTGTTATTTACTCCACAGCACAGCAGTTGGTCATGTTTTTTTCTCAATTGGACTAGCACACAAGAGCCCCTATCATGTATTGTTCTGTAAAATAAAATCCTAAATACATCCTATGTGCAGCATTAAATCCAGTGTTCGGTTTCCTACTGGTACATCTGGGACTTACTCCCCACATTTGACATTAATTATGTGGCTCTGCAGTGCTTAACCGCTCACACTCTTTGCTTAGGCTGTAGCCTGTTTCTGTGGGTGGGATGATTTGCTCAGTTCTTTCCCTGTTTAAAGCACTGTGTAATTTGGTGGTGTTCTGCCTTCAGGACGGGTAGCATTTCCAGCTGTGTGCTGGAGGGCTGAATGGTGGCTGTTTGGGAAAAGATTCTGGTTCTTCCCTGAGCAAGGGCAGAAGCCTGGAGGTTTTGTCAGTTCCAGGCCTGGCACTGGCACCAGATCCAACAGGCTGAGCTGTTTTATTTGTGGTGTGTTTTGTTTTAGGTGGTGCTCTTCAGATACTAAATACACAGCAAGATGGTCAAATGAAGCAGTCTTCAGCAGCATTTTAATAAGTCCCAAGATGATAACAGACCACATGCCAGATGTTGTGCTCAAAGCACTGAATAGTTTGTCTCAGGAACACAGATCATGTATTTCTTGTCAGGCACGAGAATGTAACACCAACGTGGTGTAACCATAGTTCACCAAGGTGAGGGGGTTTTCACTGCAGGCTTCAGGTATTCAGGGACCATTCCACTTTCATACCCGTGTGGATTTCAGAACTTTTTTCTCACATTGCATAAAATAAACAAGGGTCTTCATGCCCTTGGCTGTGCAGCAACCTTGCATGGCAGGAGGCTGATTTAAAGCAGTCTGCACTTGTGCTGAAGGTTGAGCTTTTACAAACCGTGATGGTCTGACACGTCCCAGCTGAGCCTGTGGATGCTGGAGCACGAGAGCCAAGGTGCCAGTTGAGTACTCAACCAGAGCAAGCGTGTGTGTGTGGACAGCTGAGCCTGTGGGTGAGCGCAGAGCCCTGCCAGACCTTAAAAATGGTAAAAAAATTCCAGTTCTGCTTCAGTCACATACTGCTGCTGCCTGAGACCAGCCTGTGCGGAGCCTGGAGGTGCAGTGTGGCGGGAGCTCAGTGACAGCAGTCCCACAGGGCACGAGCAGCTGCCCCAGCACAGCGGCTGGCAGGGGTAAGTGGGCAGGTCTGGGGCAGGTCAGGGTGCACAGACTGTGGTGAAACAGGCAGCCCCGCTGGGTGGTTCTCATTGATTGCACTATTTTCCTTACTGATTGTGGTAGCACCCAGGGGCAGGGGGTGTCGTGGTTAAATGCTGCTTGGACATACATGTGCAATATTCTTTTATCTGTTGTTTGTATTTGTTGAGCCACATAACTACTTTTATTGATTTTAAACTAACCCCTATTAGGACTACTTAATGAGAAGATTTAAAAAACTCAACCCTTTATTCATCTTAGCTAGTGGCATCATCTTAGTCACTAGCTCTGACTGCTGAAAGCACTGATCCCAATTCTGCCAAAAATACATAACCAGTTATACTGATTTTTAGTGGATCCCTTGTTTCTAAGCGTGCAACCATTTTAACCCTTTTTTTAAGGCTCAGCAGTAGTTCTTATTTAAAAGAAAAAAATTAATATGATGTGTTTGAGAAAACTGCGTGGCTGTTCTTGCTGTGATACTTGATATGGAGACTAAATAAAATGCACTCTAAAAACCTGTCTTATTACATTGAGGTATGCTGGTGTGAGATGAAAGTTACCAGGTTAGAGCTGTCCAGAGAGCCTAGAGGCTGTGCAGCAAGGTAAGGCACCACCACCAGTGAAGGCCAAGCACATGTTTCCTCCTCAAGCAGGGTACTGCAGTCACCCCCAGTGCCCCTGGAGTGAGCAGGAGCACAGCAGGCTGCTGCCCTGACATGCAACAGCATAGCTGTAACTTTAAAAGGCTAAAATGCAAGGCTTTTAAACACAAACAGAGCCATCATTCTGCCAGCTGTTAAAAGCAAGTCCCAGTTTTAGAGGAAAAGCACTCTTTGTACACAACATGGTGAAATGGGTGTTTTTTCCGCTGGGTGGCAGCAGCTTTAAAACACTGCACAAGCAGATGCAGGCGTTAACTACCACCTCGACGGATAATGCATGGCCTCCGAAGAAATGGTGCCCACTGCTGTATTTAATTCTGGTTCTTCACATCAGGGCACCCCTCACACCACCAGTGTGGCGCACTGCACCAGCCTGCTGGTGCCAGCACAGAACAACTCTGAAACAGAGTGGTGCAAGAACGAGAACACTTGCTGAGAAACTCAAACATTACCACACATATGATTCAAGGATTTATTAAGTCATACATGCAAAACATACTGCTAATTGCATTAGCAAAAGATCAATGTAAAAACTTCACAATTTTGCAACTTTTACTTGTAAATTTTGCTTTAGTGGTTGAAAGGGTGTAGTTCAACATCGTATTCCTGCCTGCTTAGAATGTACAGAACATGAGCACTAGTTTACAGAACCTCACAGACCCAGGTTACCATTACTCAGCCTATGCTGCACACGTACATGTAGTGACATAAAGAACACTTGTCTGCATTAGTAACATTACAGTAGTGGGGAGAGCTTGCAAAGAGGGATAGGTGAAAAAGTTCGTAGTTTATAGAGGTTTAAAATACAAAAATTACTAAAATGTGTAAAGCTGCTTCACATGATTTTTACACCTAGTTAATAAAGCTCCTCAGAAAGCATATAACTTACTGAGTCAGAAATAACAGGAAAATAAGGAGGATATGCATCAACATTCTACTCTACAAAGAAAAAAGAAAGAGGCAAATGTGTATCATCAGAAAGGTTTTAAAATACAAGTTATATTGCTCAGTAAGAAGAGGTCCTACAAGAAAAGCATTTACTACACAACAGTTGTGGGAATGACTGGTTTGGAGTTGTACCTAAACAAATGCCCTACTTGAAATTCAACGGAATTTACCTGTGAACACCAACCTCTCTTCCACTGCTGCTCCTCTGGGACAGCAGGCCCCGGTGTTAACCTGCACTAAGAGTCAGTTCAGTTTCAACTACCCTGGCAGTGTAGTGTAAGTCAGCTGTACGGCGTCGAAATACTGTCTGGCACTATCATTTGATCCAACCCACTATTTCCTTTATCCATCACAACACAAAGCTGTCAAAAGGACTAGATACACTTCAGTACAAATAGTTAGTTATTCTTTAGATCACAGCAGCAAGAACTAGATTGCAACCAAGCCCTTACCCACGATAAAGCATTTTACACTGTGACTCACGGGTGTCAGTCATTGCCAGCAACTTGGTTCTGATCTACGACGCTGCGCAATGACTGTGGGTTGAGGAACCATTTAGTAATAGCCACATTCGAGTGCAGTGTTTCACTAATGACCCAGTACTGCTACTTACTGTGAAAAACTAGAAAGTATTTTTGCGTTTCCTACCAGAAATTAGAGTCATCTTCAAGAATCTTTAAAAAACGGTTTAGTGCTTAGTGTTCGTAGCACAACAACGCAACTTAGTTCAGCAGATAGTTTGGCAACACTTAATTGAGCAAGAATAGGATTTTAAAAATAAGGCTTTACATACGTTTGTCTTTTCAGGAGTTTGCTTTTAGAAGGTAACTGTCATTCTTGAAACAAAAGGAAACTGTGAAATTGTTGATTGATTCAAGGATTTGTGGAAAAGAACTAATTTATAACAGAAAAACTTGGCATTGAGTGTGAATGCTCCATTGTTCTGAGCAAAGCACAGGGTTTGGAGTGGGGTGGGGGAGGGTAATGTTTACAGCAGCAGACATTTTCTCTTCCTCTTCTTTACAGGAGGGGGGCACAGAACTGCTCGGATGGCTTCATCAAACACTGTCTTGAGGCCTCGCTGCGTAAGTGCTGAGCATTCGAGGTATTTCACTGCACCTGCGGAAGCAGAAAGGCTGTTACAAAGCAGCTTTCCCAGTCAGAGTAGCACTGCTGCAAGCTAACTGCAACAAAAGCCAGGCACTTATTTTGAGGTACATCTAACACAAACCAAGTGTAGCTCAACATTAACCCCGCTGCCATCCTACCGATCTCTTTTGCCATTGCAAGGCCCTGTGGGTAGGTGATGGGAGTCAGCTTCTTCTCCTTCAGTTTTTCAATAGTGTCCTTATCATCCCGGAGATCAAGTTTGGTGCCCACTAAAATGATGGGAGTGTTGGGACAATGGTGCCGCACCTCAGGATACCACTGCAAAGAAACAGCGTGGGTTGGGGGGGGCAGATTCCCACAAGGGCTTCCAGCCCTTCATGACACTTTCCAGAGTAAAAGAGGAAAGGGAGAATGTGACACCTCATCAAAGCAGTATCAGAAAAGAGCAGACAATTGCAAAACACTTCTCATGAAGCCAATGGTCGTTTCCATATACTTTTTAAAAGCTCACCCTACCAAGGGCTGGATTTTCTCCACACACCAAGAGAGCCCTGATCTGCACTTCCCTCACCCACAGAGACCACCTGTCCTTTGTGAGGTTTCCCCAGTGCCATACAGCTGAGTTGTCCACAGACACGAACGGACTGCAACAGCAGCAGCAGCACACTAGTGGTATCAACCTCATTATTATATGCATTTGGTTTTTAATATTTTTCTGTAAATTGCATTAAAAGGGAAGTTCCTGTTTGTGATCTCAGCACCTCACCAGCTGAACACTCTTAAACTACTACTAATCTATCACTGTATCAGAGAACAATTCATAGCATTTCATGTGCCCTAAACTACCATGGCTGACTTCGGCAAATGGATTTCTGACTTTTCAGACTATAGTTCACAAACTTTGCCTGCCAAAAATAAATCACTTCCTATTTTCCAGCCACTGCTGCAAAGTGAGCAGTATGCTGAATGCTTAAATAAAATACCAGCTTCTACTCACCTTAGCACGGACATTTTCAAAGGAAGCAGGACTCACAAGGGAAAAGCAAATTAAGAAGACATCCTACAAAACAAGTTGATAGAAGTTAGCACATCAGAGCAACTATTGTAAAAGCTCATGCAGAGGCCAATACCAGCCACACCTGTACCACCCTGTCAGCTGCACCACACTTGCAAAAAGCAAGGTCAATAGTACACTTGCACATAACAGTTGGAGGCAGCTGTCCCAGTGGGAAATCCATTCCCAGGCAGCTACAAGCAGACAAAAGGAGGGGGAGAACCAACAACAAATACACTGTAGTCAGGTTTACAATCAGCTACTGCAGGAGCCAGCAACTACAAGTCTAGCAGCATTGCACTGCAAGCTTCTTTTCCCCCCTAGATGTCCCTTCTCCTTCACTGACATTCAGAAAAAAAAAACCAAAACCACACAAACACAGGAAGAGTCAAGACTGCCTTCTAACCTGGGGTTGGATACTCTCTGCAGGCCTCTAAGTGAGTTAACCCTTGACACCCCCTTTTTAAGTATTAATATACTATTAATACACTACAGTCTTTGCAATGGCAAAATATACAGTATGGAATAACAGAGTCATACAATAACTTCTACAATTATTATTTCTGTGTCCAAATCAGAAGAGTCTTGCACAACTATCACTTCTACTGACTGCCAATATAAAAAGATCTCAGAATTCCTCTGTAACAAGATTAGGATTAAGAGCCTTGAAAACTTCAGAAGTGGGTTCAGAAGTTAGGAATCTTGCACATCTCACTTTTCAACTGAAGGCAAAAGAAAGATCATAAGACCTGGTAAAAACATTTTAGAGCACATTTATACCAACTCCCTTCAAAAACCAATGAGCTTCATATACACTGTTGTCTGGAAGCATTCAGAATAACCTCAAAATTACTTTTCTCTAAGCTGATGAAGACTGTAATCTTGCTGAATGACCCCAAACTCAATCAGCATCTCTCAAACAAGCCCAACTTTCCCCAACCTACCTCTGCATCCATACTTATCCCGGCATCAAATGCGTTACAGAATCAGGCATTTCAGAATGTTAGTTGATTGTGCTGCATTTCAAGGCATTTTGTTAGGTCAGCAGCTGACATCTGCACTGCTAAGCACTTGCAACCCAGTTGTTCATGCATCACCCCAACAAGTTTCCGTAGCAGCGTCCCAGAAGAAGAAAGAAACAACATCAAATAACGTGATACTATGGCCACTACTTCTGTTTTCCAATCTGCATGTTTGTGGTGACTGAAGTTCTGCACATTATGCAGACTCTCTTTTACTAGCTTCAGTGTAGTCATGATTTCTTGTGTCTTGCACACTATCAATCTTAAGCAGGAAGAAAAGTTATTTATTTCCAAGTAAAGGTTTGGTCTTAGCAACTCATATAGAGAGATTTGGTAATGGATTTCTCAGTTGCAGCAATGCAATAGTTCCAAGAAAAGTAGCTGCTTAAAAAATAGGGGCCAATTTATCACTATCATAAGCAAGACAAGATGACAGAACTTGGAACTGAAGTTTGTTTAAAGTTTTACATACGGCAATAGGTTGATCTGTCAGACTGGAAGATAGATTCTTACCATTGGTTCCTCCAACCTAATAACAGTAGGAGATAAAGTTACTCCTAAAACGGATTTAAGGGGAAATGTTCTCAGTCAGCAATTTGTGCTCACAAATGCTCACAAAACAGCTTTTCTTCTCAAGGGAGACACTGCCCTGTGATTCAGCACAACCAACTGCCTCCATCCAGAACAGGCCACCAGACTTCCCCGCAAACCTGTAAATGTCTGTCTTCA